CAGGAGAAATATTAGTTACGAGGAGGTCATCAGTTTTCCGTCTGATGCATAGTTATACTTTGTCAAACATCCATAATGGAAATGCAATGTCAATACAAGTATTTTGGAGAATAATTGGAACAAATTCAATGAAATTGTAATATCAAAAAAATTACTTACTGTATAAAATTTGACAAGACGGAAGGATTTTTTTTCAAAATTCTAAATTATTAGAAAATTATAAATATTGGAATAAAATTGAGAAATTTATATTTTGAAAATAAGCAACTGTGCGCTAAAATTTTCGCATGTAAAGTTCTACAAAATGTAAGTCATGTGCGTATATCGATCTATTTGAGCAAGCTATAGATACATCAACCTTATTAGACACATTGGCCAGAATGTGATATGCATATGTGTATGATGTGCATAAGTCTCTTCATCGTGCTAAGGAATTATAGTTCATATACAAAACCTTAAAATCTAAGATGCACAAATATTTCAATTTATTCACTTTGATCTGACCAGTGAATAAAAGGTTTACATCAACATTCAGATATTGATATGATCTTTTAACTGGTTAGGAACAGTGGGTTCGAAGAATTTTTTAAGGGTAGATATATATATATATGTATATATATATATATGGTTCACAGAATAATTTGCATGGAAGCTAACTTATGAATTATGAAAATTTTGAACTTGTAATATATTTCCAGATTATTACGGTTTATAAAATATTAAGCATGTCTCTGGTACCTATTGCTAGACACAATATTCTTAAAATGAGTTTGCAGGATTTCACACATCATGTTATGAATATTTTCATTAGATTCATGATGATACTAATGATTCACTAACATTTGTGTGCATGAAATAATAAGCTAATCGCTAGATTTGAAAACAATATAGGTTTACATTGCAAAAAAATGTGTACTGATCACGATATAATTTTGACTTAGCTCAATTGAAAGTATGTAGATATTGAATTTTATATGATGATTGCACATGGTTTAAATTTCTATCAATCAAAATACATATGATTTTTTTCTTTACGTCATCTAATTATTTAAGCTTAAAATTATCATGAAATATCCTAGAATAAAGTTCAAATCAGGCACCTTTTATATGGTTCTTCTTCTTTGTATGCACAACATCACATCTTTCCTCATCTTTTTGTCAAGTTAGATATAGAAGCAGTTTATGAATTGTTTTTAACTAGAAAATTCCTAAATATTGTAACAATCTAAATTTAGAGATAATTTTTTCTTCTACAAGCTAGACATATTTATTGTAAATTAACAAAGTATGAATGTATTTCAACAATAACATTTTTTTGTATCCTATATCGTTTTTTACTAATCCACAAAATCTCACTCAACAAGTTTTGGATTTCTTTCTCTATTTATGAATATATATATCATATGATACATTTTAGTTTTTTCTTTATATATATTGTATACTTAATTTGATAAAAAATATAAGACATTAATTTATAGATTACTAAATACATGAGAAATTATTTTTTGGTCATTCATGATCAAAATTATTCATGTTGATCTAAAAATAAACTGTTAAATTCTCTGCTTTGTGACTAGTTCAATATTATTAGCATTTTAATTTATGAAAAAAATTTGTCATTGATAGTTTTTTTTTGGTATGTTTAAAATGCTAGTCGTACTTCTGATTTTGTTACGAAAATTTATATTTATTTGTTTATTAAAAAACTTTGCAACTGAATCATTTCAATTTATCAGTCATGGGCATTTAAGATTTGATTGATGCTGTGAAAATGCTTTTTGAAATTATATGAAGTGATATCATGACATTTTTTATTTCTCTAGATGCAGATAATAGTTTACAACAAATTCTAAAAGCATTTGTTATTAATTGTTGTATGAAATATTGATATTTTATTCAAATTTTTTTTTGGTTCATTTATAAGATTTCAATATGTCAATTAATGTCAGTTAAGATTTAATGTCATGTGATATTTTTAAAATTTATTGATTTGACATTAACACAGTTTTCAAACTTAAATCTTACGTTTTTGAATAAACAATGAGTGAAGTGTCAAAAATCAAATATATTTTTAAAAATATACCTGAAATTCTGGTTTACAAGCTATAACGGTTTATGAAGTGTGTGCGTATATGTACATCAACTTTGATAAAGTATTGCATGTCTAACCAATAAATTCTTAATACTTAACCTCAATACTAAAATTTCAAAATCATTAGTTTCATTGTGAATTGTTTGAATACAATATCAATATATATGATATTTTATTGACTTGTGTTATGTAAGTCAATTTTATCCGGAAATATCTAAACATTCAGATATACTATGACATATAACATATCAGTTTTGTAATCGCAAAAAAATTATTTATCCTCCCATTTTACTTAATAGGATTTATCCATAAGACTTGATGAAAATTTTCACTTAATCATTTTTTTGTCAAAAAGATTAAAAGTAATAAGTTTCATTACTCTCAATATTAATGTATCAAAAGGTGCAAGATAGAGTCATGAGTATTTGTGAATATTTAGTTTTGGAGTACAAAAATGATTAACTTTTACATGAAGAATATTACAATGATTGAAAAGAATCCTTGCTATCAATCATTATGAAATCATAATCCTGTACAAGTAGAAATGAAAAAATCACAAGATTTCCCTTTCTCACCAAAATCAAAGCAATGCCTTCCGTTTGGATTCGAATCGGAGCAACAAAAAAAGAGTAAGACATAAAGCTCGACAAAAAATAGGTAAAATTTGTATAAAGATTGTGTAATGGAAAAAATATTACACTTAACAAGACAAAAGAAGATATCAAGAAAGAAATAAAAGGTGAAACCAGTGTATGAGCTCAAATAACGGAAGACCAGCAGAAAAAGAGAAACAAAAAGTGGTACATTAAATGAAATGTAAGTGTGAAAAGACTGTCAGTAAAGGATGAAAATCACGAAAACAATTAATGAATGAATCCTTTATAGCAAGAAAGTTACTCAGTCTATGTCACAAAGGGCTGATATTCATGTGGTCGGATATCATGACTAGCAGCAACTTTTTGATCAATCTTTTGGATCTCCTATGTCTGCCATCTTCAAAACGCATCCCAAACAACGGGAAGATCTGGTGATTAATGCACTTTACTTCATGGAATTGTAATGATATTCGTAAAACAAAGTTTCGAAGGCTCGGTTTAACTGGGGAGATGGCGCAGAAAAGCAAAAAAAGAATTCAAAAATTGCCATGTGGAAACCGCAGCCCATGAAACCAAGATACGATCAGTGTTAAGTAAGAAAGCTATCATTCCTTGGGATTTGTCCTTATCTCTTTGATTTGTAATGATATGTAGAAGCAGATTATGATGAATTGTTGTTTCCAGATTGTGTGCGTTGTTGTTAATGTAAAGTTACTAAGACACACACTGAACATGCGTTAAAGTTCTATCACCGTTAAAGACTTATGTTGGAGTACCATTTGCTTCAATATACAATGAAAATTCCTTCCAATATGAGATCGACTTTTCACAATCTATATTAGTATATTTTAGCTCTACATCAAAGTTGAGAATTAAAGAAGTCATAAGTAGTATACTACTTACACGACTTTATGAGTTATATGCTTCCCGCTTTATGATAAATATGAAAATATCTTCATATCTAATGGGATATAATATTTTAATGTTGCTACATGTGGTAAAAATGATGATTATGAAATTTTGATCTATACAGTCAGTCATAACGCTCTTAGAGGAAAGCTACCTACATCTCTCTCTTCCCCGATTTGATCTGGTCATGTGTATTGTATTAATTAAGAAAAGAGAGATCAGGTTTTTAAAAATTAAATTGCTACTTTTGTGGCAAAAGAAGTTCATTGATTGTACATTTTCAGCCAGCCGAGTGCAAGTGCATTCAAACTAATCATAATAATGACCAAACTTAAAAAAAACCTTCTCATGTTTTCGTGGGATGTTTTTTCCTACAAGAAACAAGCGAGGGATACTTTTCTCTTTTTATTTTCACTGTTTTTTGCAAAATTCCAAAATGTACTGTTTGATCTCCTCTCAATCTTCTCTGCTACCTCTTTTCAACTTCTTTCACTCCTGTCATACACAGTGTTGTAACCTTGAGTATGCATTATTGTATGACATACAATACAATCGTTTCAAAGCTAAATTTGTGACAACGAATGTGTGAAAGATTTTTATTTATGATGAAAGTACTTCACATGTGAAAGTACTAACAGCTCAAATATGTCTCTTACGGTGACACGGACAGTTTCCACGTTATAATCAAAAGGTTGAATTCATAAGAGCTGTTTCTAGAGTAGCATAGATATATATTTCTCAAGACGATTGTGTTATTGTGTCAATAAACTAATTTGAAGAGTATATTTTGATCTGATTTATATGATTATTAGGTTTACCTTAGTGTGCCAACCGTATGTACCAATATTAATTTGTACATCTAAGTAGTGTAGATATTGTTTACTTTAGCTAAATTTGTATCTTGTATCCAGTTTTTTAAACATCCTCTATTTCTCTTTCTTTCTGGTAATTATATAACTTCATCTAGCATTCACACAGTCCACGAAAGGTATTGATAGTGAATATCGAACTGAATATTATAAATGAGTTGTGGGGAAGAAAAGATTGGCAAGAATGCAAGAACATAGCTTTGAGTGGATGTTTTCTCATAATATCGCTTCAAGAATCATTCGCCAAAGTTGCACAAATAGATCTAAATGCTGATGTAGTTCATGCATAAGGTTGTATAGGTCTGATATGTTACATAGGGATATTCAAAAGGTGACTACAATACCTCACTTTACAAAGTATAAAGCTCAAAAATGTCTCTCAACTCATGAACCACATTGAAACCTCATCGACATTGAAAATCACCTCATACACCGAAGCGAAAGACGACACATCGCTAAAGACAATTTCCCAACAATGGCCGAGCTCTGAACACGAACAAACTTCACATAAAGAAGAACTCGCAGGAGCAAATATCACCGACGAAATATACTTCGAATTAAAACTCCCGAAAAACAGAAAAAAGGAAGAGAAAATGAAAAGAATGAAAATCGCGCGCATCAGAGGACACTACGGAAGTATCAGCCCGAGGCGTCGAGTCGGCATCTGGGACAGGACAGAATACGACCCTCAGGGGATAGGACGGTACAGAGTACAATACCTCCGCCGGGACACACCCCGCCGCTCCCTCCCGCGGGACTTGTAGCCGTTCCGAACGGCTAATGTCCCGAAAGGCGACGGGCGACGGGGGACAGGGCGACGGGGCGACGGGACTGCGTCGAGCGGGGGTCGTCATCTCTCGGGCCCGGCCGTCCGGCGGTCGCAACTCGTGTCGACCGCGGATTGATCCGGGACTCGATTTGACCGACAGTTCGTGAGTCCAGGATCTGCCGGTACGTCTGACGCTCCCTGCCAGCGAGTTACATAACCTGTCGGCCCGGTGTGGGCCCCGCCGCCGCCCTCCACGCTCTTGTGAAGCTCTCTCGCCTCTTCTGCCGGGTGACCGTTGCCGGGCGGAGGGCCCCCCCACCCTGCCAACCCCCCCACCCCGCGCCTGTTCGTTCATATTGAGCTCTGGCTCCGAGTTCCGGTCAATCAGTCCCACTTCCCGACCGTCCGCCGTTCGTATCTCCCACCCCTCCCACTGCTCCTCTTCTTCCCCCTTATAGTCCACCCGACGTCGCTGGTCCACTGCTGCTCGTTGTCACCAGTAGCTCCCTACCGTCGAGTGCCTGGCGTCCCCTCTTCCGTCCTGCTCTGCAGTTCAGCAGCAGCAGCAACAGCAATAAGGAGAGGAGTGAGGTCGGCATCATCAGCATTGTCGAGGTCTCTCTCTCTCTGCTCGCGAGGAAGAGCAGCAACGAGGATCGAGCAGGAGCGAGGGCCAGGCAGAGCTGAAGCGGCGTCAGCGATTGAACGAAAGAACGAGAGAGAGAGAGAGAGAGATAGAGCTTCTTCGTCGGCGAGGCTGTGCGATTTGGCGCACAGGAGGGTTCAAAATGGGGCGAACGCGTGCTGGCTCGGTGGTGGCCGTGCTCTTGTTGAGCTGGATGGCGGTGGCGTCCGCGTTCAACATCACGTTGATGTTGAACGCGAGGCCTTCTTTGAGTGCGATGAACCAGTTGCTGACCTCGTCGGGCGTCGCTGCAGAGATTAACTCGAGGACTTCATTGACGCTTTGCGCCGTGAGCAACCCCGTGTTGCAAGCTTTCGTGGCGACCGTGCCCAATGTGGACGCGGGTGAAGTCGCTGATCTCCTGAGGTACCACGTCTTTCTTCAGTATTTGGACATTCCCGAGCTGAAGCAGATCGTTCCAGGCAGCCCGAGCACCGTGACTACTCTTCTGCAGACCACGGGAAGAACCGCAGGAAACGACGGATCAGTCAACATTTACTACGACGGGACTGCAATCCAAGTCGGTCTTCCAGACATCACTGCACCACCGAATGCCACCATTCTGAGCAGCATTGCCTCTATTCCATACAACATTAGCATTGTCCAGTGCGACAAGGTTCTCGTTCCTCCAGGCTTCGGGACTCGCGCCACCGATAATGCTAACATCACCGCCGCTCTTGAGGCCGGGCTCAACTACAACACTTTCATCCAGCTGATTCAAAGCACAGGCATCGACGCCGAATTCGCAGCGAAGCAGACTGGTACCGGAATCACCATTTTCGCCCCTACCGATGCTGCGTTCGCTGCCCTCCCAGCCGGTGCATTGGCAGCTCTGACCCCAGACCAAGCCAAGCAGGTGCTCCGGGCTCACGCCATTGTTACGTACTACCCACTCGGAACTCTGTCGACCATGAACAAGCCTAACGAGCCCACACTGGCCACCACCACCGGAGGTCCTGGAACCTACACTGTGAATGTCTCCACCTCGACCACTGGCGGCGTCACTCTCAGCACCAGCGTTTCATCGTCGAGAATCGGAGCAACTCTCTTCGACACGAATCCCACCGCCATCTTTTCGATCGACAATGTCATCCTGCCTGCTGAAATCTTCGCCACTGCACCAGTTCCATCTCCAGCTGTGGCCCCTGCTCCCTTGACGCCAGGTCTAGCTCCCGCACCTCTCAGCCCAGTGCCTGCCCCTGCTCCCGGCACTCCAGTCCCAGCACCAGCTCCGGCTCCTCTCACTCCAGTGCCTGCCCCAGTGCCCACTCCTTCGAGCACTCCAGCTCCTGCTCCAGCTCCCATGACTCCCACTCCAGCTCCAGTACCCGCCCCAGACATGGCAAGCCCACCAGCACCACCAGAAGAGATCCCCATCGCCGAGACCCCAGCTGAGACTCCGGCTGACACGCCTTCTTCTGCTTCGAGCATCGACATGAGCAGGGTCGTATTGGCAGCCGTGACTCTCTTCTCCGGACTCATGCTGTTGTAGATCAGTTAGTCGTTCAGAGCTTGATTTGATACAATTTGAGTCAATTTTCCGAACCGGGTTCTATTCATTTACAGCGTTAATTTAGGCCGCCGACATTTATTCTTTGATGTTTTATTCAGCTTTGTACCTGAATAATGTAAAGTGTTCCGTTCAGTCAAACCACGATTGTGTTCATCACGATACCTCTTTCAAGGTGACTTTCACCTTCAGTTTCATTCATTCTTCGCTGCACTCGCGCACATTTTCCTGGTCTCTCAATCTCACCATCAGTCTTGAGCAATAGTCGTTTCATGCGTACGCACATGCCGCCGAGTTTTGCTTGCCTACCTGCTGTCCCAACATGCAAGACATGTCGCCATTGTCTCTCTGTCTAGTGGACGGGAGTACGGGGAATTAAGATCTGAGAATACGAAAGATCTCTGTCCAGCACTTCGATAGCACAATGGTAAAATTCGACCTCCTTAGGTGAGTGAGTCAAAACGACTGCAATGAATGTCCTTCGAATTGACAGGCTAGATATTTATTAATGGAGGCGAGGAACAGCACACAGGCAAGGTCTCAGACGTCGAGGAAAATGTGCACATACGAGCAGCAGGAGTGGCTGGTGGACATGAACGTAGGTGTCATGAAGGAGCTCTTGTCTGATGTGACGATATTTATGAGTATCCGTACTCACCAGGAATATTGTCCAATGGTACACATGCTGGTTCCTACTCTTTGTCCCCGCGAGGTCCAGTGTAACGAACGGTGAGATTGCAGTGCATCGACCGACGCATGTACGATGAAATGTGTGTACGTACTGCTCATCCTGGGACTGTGTGCATTCAAAGCATTGAAAGCAGGGGCCAGGGTTCTATGTTCTTCCCTCTGAATGTGTGATGCGCCCCTGTGGTAATCCGGGTGAAGTCGAGGATCGAAGGCCGTAAAGTTTGTTTCCGGATGATGTACGACGAAACATGTGACCGGGGCTGGAGTGAGTACGGTCCCTCAGCACCGGTTGTCTCAGTAATCTCCACTTTTTCTCATCGTCAGGCGCAGGGAGGTCTACCACCCATGCAGCTCTGTGAACCTGTGCACCGTGGGCGGTGGGCCATACATAGCCTCCGATGCTGCTGCTCCACTCCACTGTACCAGCCGACTGACGGTGGATAAGAACGAACTCGTACTGCTGAAGTCGGGACACGATCTCGTGAAATGAATTGCATGGGGAGGGACAGTGAAGTAATAAATTACGCAATCGGAACGCTCGAGTCAAGAATCCCTGTCAAAATATAAATCTGCGAAACTGTCTCCTGTAACTGTATGAAATGTAGTTTCTCATCACCGCCAAATATGTCGTTAGACTATTCTAGTCGTCACAGCGAGTCAAACTGGATAAATTCCAGACAAGGAAGCTGATCTTTGACGATGTAAGCTCCGTAACTCAGACTTGTCGTAGTATCATGCCAGCGTCTCCAAACCTTGTCTGTGTCTGGAGACTGTGCTGCACACTCTGGTGGAATGAGGCTCCTACGTACTGCTGGGCGAGCATTTGGCTGCAGAGTTGGGAGGTTTTGTATAGTGGTTCGTTTGTAGTCAATAGAGATTGACTACAATCGGTTGATACTCCCAGATGGATACGCAAGAAGTGGAACAATCAGTCAGTTCCATGTTTCACCTTCAAACGGGAATATACAGAACAGGAACACAGCAACTTTGTGCCAGTGACTAAGAGGATGACTTCGTGAGGGGGCCTCGTAGTATTCCAAGCCAGGTGATTGTGAAGACAATAACTCTTAGTAAGACAGCTAGCTGATTTCAACAACCTGATCCATTACTAATAACGGACGGCACATGAAGCTCAAAAAAGATACTAGCGAAGAAGCAACTACCGAGCACCGAATTCTCGGTGAGAAAATAGTAAAGGAGGAATGTGCTTCGTACAAAACGAGAAGGCCGAATTTGAGCTCCACCGGAACACTTATTTTGGTGCACTGGCAGTTCATTAATTCAGAGGGAACATCGATACAGACTCTGTACGTTTACCGATCCATTTCACATATTCCACTGCAAATTCAACAACCTCTTTTCTACGCCCGTTCAAGGTCAGCTACCCAAAGGGTCGATAGATTTCCACGACGAACACGAGATATACAACAGCTGCAGCTTGTGGATCTGAAACACGACGCTTTCTAACAAAAAGGCTGACCTAACTATCGTCTGCAATATTCTATCGACGTGATATACTCTGCCTCTCCTGAATGGAGTTCAGGAGAGTTTACGTTGGGTTGAGTGTGACACTGACCAATTCCGCATGATTCATGATTCTAGCTACGCCGTTCTTTCTAGACTGTAGACGCAGCATGCTCAGAAAGGGACTCGAGACCGTCTTATATTTCTCGCTCACCTGTCCTCGCAGGTCAACAATCTGAGCTCCACTTTTACCGTCCATGGAAAGATCTTGCAGACAAGATCTATTCGGATTTCCGAACCATGCCCCTGCTATTTCGGGAGGTGACGCCTTGTGCCTCTGTTCTCCACGTCTCATGTCTCCGACCGACTGCAGTAGTCCACAGCTACTGTATCCAGTACGTGGACCTGGACGTCGTTTCTGAGAAGTCAACAAAGGACTCCGTAGCCCCAACGTCACATCGACAAGAACAAACAACAAAAACTACAAGATATATTACATCAAATTATTGTTCTCCAACTAAACCCTAAACCCTACGTTTGAAACTAAGTTTTATGTGCAAAGAAGTTTCTATCATCTTGATTTTTTGTCTGAAGTGCACAGAAAGCTCATGAATCTTCATAAAGAGTAAAATATACTCCAACTTAAATCACAATCTAATGCATACTTGTTTGGTAGATACTTTGAATGTTATTGCTCTATGAAAGTTCCAACCATCAAGACATCAGAATGCACTACACTCACAATATCGAGATAAAGTGATTCGCGTTCCATAGGTTACGTCCAAGAGCAAGAGTAGAAACTACACTAACGCACAAGTGTATACACAGACTCTATAGCCAAGCTCTTCTCTTTCTTGATCACTCTCAATTGCAACTTTGAACTCTACGGAGTAAATGGCTTCTTCTCTCTTCTATACAAGAAGAGATAAGATGCACATCTTAGCTAATCTAACCACAATTAACTTCCTTATCCATGGTTATTGCTAATTGGAGTTAATCCAAGATAGAGTTGACCTAACACACTCCCTCTTGACGTCTTGGAGATGTAACTAATGTAATCCACATGTCTCTACGGGAAGTTCTAGAAAGTAAAGCTAAATCACGTTTTACCTCTATAGTCAAGAGTGAACTAGAACTAAGTCGTAGCCATAAAAAACCGGATGGAGAACACTTGTACAAAAGTTACTTGACTAACTATTCTTATGCAAAATTTGCAACTTTAAACATCGATTGGAGAACTTTCTAATGAAATCACTACAGTCAATGTGTTGGTAGGGTTGAGCTTACCATCAATTTTGATGAGCTTTAGCGCATTCTCAGACACTGCTTCTCTGATTAATGATATCGGATATCAATGTGCTTTACCCTACCATCCATCACATTGTTTGATGCTAGATGAAATGCACTTTTGATGTCAAAGTAAAGATTCATAATACTGTGTGGCAGCTCCATCTCGATGGCAAATTTATTCAACCAAATAGTTTTTTTGTTGTTTTTGTTGCCGTAACGTATTCAACTTCTGTGGACGATTGAGAATTGCATTTTTGAAGTGTATATATCCAACTTATGCATTCGTTTGAAATTTGACATGTACCTACTCACCTTACCAATTGCATATGTTATATTAGGTCTAGTGCATACCATTAGATAAATAATGCTGCCAACTGCACTTTCATAAGGAATAGAAGATATCAATCCTTTTGCAGTTGCATCAATTGGAAATAAAGCTACCAAAAGTTTAAAGTGTGCAGCTAATGGGATACTTATAGCTTTAATATTTGACATGTTAAATCTAGCAAATACTTTATTTGCATACTGTGTGTGTGTCAACCAAAGTTTGCTTGATGACTAGTTCCTACGGATTTTCATGACTAGAATACGCTTAGCAAGAACTAGATCTTTCATATTAAACTCGAAACTAAGTTGGACTTTGAGTTTAATAATTTCAAACCTATCCTTAGCGGCAATAAACATGTCATCTACATACAACACGAGTAATATTAAGCCAAAACTTGTGTCGCTAACATGCTTCATGTACACACAAGGATCAATGATATGAAGTCTTGCGTATGCATGAACTCATCAAAACATTTGTTTCATTGTCAGAGACTTTGCTTAAATCCATACAAGGACTTAAACAACCGACAAATCAAACATTTCTTTCTTCTCTTCAAAAAACTCTTTAGTCGTTTCAAGTAATCACTTTGTCCAACGCTCTACGTAAAAAGGTTGTAACAACATTCATACGAATAGACCAAATAATGAAACAAGTGCACACAACAAGCATAAGGTTTAAAACTTAGCAACGAGTGAGAAAACCTTAGTGCACTTCCGCTGTTCAAAGCCCTCGTCCACCAATCTTGTTTTGAAAATTTTCTCAGCTGCATCAGTAGATCCATCCTTTATCGTATAGATCCACTAGCAATCTATAGCTTGTTTTCCATTGGACAATTCCACGAGTTTCGAAGTCTGATTGTCATGAAGTGATTTCATTTCCTTTCGCATTGCTGCATCCCAATCAAGCTTCTCCAAGATTGATTGAGATTGAGTTTAAGAGAACAGATTACCATACTCCGTGATGAGATCTCTTAAGTCATCAACAAGTAGATCCTTGTCCATAACGACATGTTCAGTAGGAAATCAAGTACCATACCTTCCATGCGCACGACGAACATGTTTTGGTCTTGCAGTTGAAAACTCTGGTTGATCACTATGTGTTGGTTCAGATGTTGGCTCATCAGCAATGCGTTGCTCATCATGGACCTCTTTAGAAGCAAAATTTTGCTCTTTCGCCTCGTTTATTAATTGTGAAGCATTTCTTTGCGACCCATCATGAAAAATTTCATGAAAAATCTACTCCTTAATGGTGCTTGGGAAAAATAACTGGACTTTGTTAATAGCAAAATGAATAATCTACTCCTCTTTGGATGATATGAACTCATTGAAAGAAACATCTCTACTAACAACAAGTTTACAGCATACAGGATCCCAAAGCCGGTATACTTTGACATCACGCTGATAACAAAGAAAAATACATTTGAT